TCCGGTTGCTGCGGGGACGATTCCTCCTACGAGATCCTCAGCCGCTGCACCAAGTATGGGGAGAGCCACCCCACACCCGGGCTGGGCACGGGGCCCTGCAGCGGCTGCTGCCACTGAGCCCCCCCCGCACCCCAAATCCCACACTTTCACCCCAAACCCAGCGCCTCACCTCCGAGGAAGCCACCCCATGGACCCGCTGCACCCAATGGGTGATGGGGCACCCCCATGGGGGCCCTTTTCTGGGGGAGGGTTAGGGGTGGAAAGGGGATTATACCGATTTTGGGTGGTTTTGGGCCCTCGCAGGAGTCGAGGCCCCTCCCCCCTCCCGTCTTTTTGTTGTTTTTCTGCGTTTTGTTTGTATGTAAGGAATAAAATGATTAAAAATCTTCAATTTGGGCACTGCGAATAGCGCCCCCAAGCGGCGTGGAGGACTCCGTGGGGGTGGGGACTGAGTGCAAGTAATAGTTTGTGATTGGCTCTTAATGCTGTGGGGGCGTGGCCTCCGGGTCGGAGTCGGGCTGTGATTGGGTGTAGGTTTGAGCGGGGGCGTCGTTTACGAAAAGTGGGCAGGGACAGAAGAAGCCCGGGACGTACGGTCCGTATCCTGCCCCGGAAGTGATGTGACGCAGCCACTTCCGTCGCCATGCCGCTCGCCGCTCACCTCGCCCGCTCCCTGCTGCGCTCTGCGGCCCGGCCCGGCCCGGCCCCGCGCGGCCTCATCTCGGGGCCTCCGGAGAAGCCGCTCGGGGCCGGGGTGAGCCGCGGGGCTGGCGGGGAGCCGGACCGCAACGGGGGCTCGGGGTGACCTTGTGGCGGTGCTGATTCCGCTGTGCCCGCAGGAATCCATCTTGGGGTTCACCGCGATCTTCGTCTCGTTCCTGGCGCCCAGCGCCTGGATCCTGAGCCACCTCGAGGACTACAAGAAGCGGGAGTGACCCCTCCGCGGCCACCTCCTCCTGTTCCCCGCGGGACCAGCGCTCTCCGGGACCAGCGCTCTCCGGGACCAGCCCCGCCGCACACGGCGCCATCCGGCTCCCTCCAGCACCCCAATAAAGCCCATTCCACCCTGCAACCGCCTGGATCCTTCCGGGGGGGGCATGGGGAGAGGGCTCGGGGGGGGGGGGTGTCAGCTGATGACATTACGGGGGGGCTGATGGATGGAGGGGGGAGCCCTGTAGCTGGGGGGTGTGTGGGGTGCTGTTGCTAAGGGGCGGGGCCTGTTGCTAGGGGTGGGGCCGCTCAGATCCCTTTTATAGGCAGGGCCCGTTGCTAGGCAACCACTCCCATGGGAGCAACTTCCGCTTCCCTGAAGAGTATTTCCGGTATCCCAATCAATCGAGTTTAACTTCCGTCAGACCTACCGGTCACATGATGTCCTAGCCGGAAGAGACGTGGCAGTGACGTCAGCGCGGCCGGTGGATCCCGGTAACGGCGCCAGGCCCCGATCCGAGCCCCGGTGAGCGCGCGGGGAGGGGGAAGGAGGCGGGGCTTGGCGGGGGTGGCCACGCCCCCAGCGGCACTTTGCCGCCCTCTGGTGGAGCGGCGGGGCCGGGGGGTCCCGGTAACCCGAGGGGGAGGTCCCCGTGCTGACCCCCCCCCGTCCCTCGCAGCCGATGAACGCGCGGCGCCGGCACGGCTCCAGGCAGCGGGACCCGGGCGTTTACGTGGGGCCGCCCCAGACACAAAGCGTGACCCCCCCGCACACCCCCCCCCTTCCGCCGCCACCGACGGTTCCCGCCGCGCTCCCCCCGCCCGGGCCGGACGTCATGTCGTGTCGCGACAGGACCCACGAGTTTCTCTCCGCTTGTAAATCGCTGCAGGGCAGGCAGGTGAGTGTCGCTCTCCCCCCGTTCCCGCTTCCCCCCCCCATCCGGTTTCGGGGTGTTCCCCCCCCCGTCGGGTCTGACCCCCCCCGTTCTCCACCGCAGGACGGGGCCCAGCCCGGGAGAGCGGCGCCGGGGGCCGGGCGGCAGCGCAGCGAGTTCAGCCTCATGGCCAAGTGAGTGGGGGGGGAAAGGGAAGGGAAGGGGGGGCTGATTTAGGGGGAACAGTGGGGGAGAACCCAATGGGGAAAGGGATGGGACAGGGATTGGGGGCGTCTCAGTGGGGGGGTCTTGGAGACCCCATGGGGAGTGCAGGGATGGGGGGGACCCATATTTGGGGAGGGCAGTGGGAGAGATTAAGGGACCCTCACAGTGAATGGGAATTATGGGGGTTAAGGGGGGGGGGGCACAACAAGGGTGGGAGGGAGATTTGGGGGGGGATTTGGGGCCCCCCATCTCTGACACACACCCCCCTCCAGGCGCATTGGGAAGGACCTGAGCAACACCTTTGCCAAGCTGGAGAAGCTGACAATCCGTGAGTTGGGGGGGGGGCACAAAGCGGGGGTGCATTGGGGTGCCCTGTTCCCCCCCCATTTCCTCACCACCCCCTCCCAACAGTGGCCAAGAGGAAATCGCTGTTCGATGACAAAGCTGTGGAGATTGAGGAGCTCACCTACATCATCAAACAGGTCTGGGGGGCCCGGGGGGGCTATTGGGGGGGGGTGTATTATGGGATGTTCCTGACACCCCCCCCCCAAACCCCTTCCATTGCAGGACATCAACAGCTTGAACAAGCAAATCGCGCAGCTGCAGGAGGTGGTGCGGGCACGGGGGGGGCAGAACGGGCGCCACGTCCAGACCCATTCCAACACCGTGGTGGTGTCGCTGCAGGTGGGGACATGGAGCAGGGGAGGACGGGGGGGGGCACACAGGGACAAATGCATCCCTTCCCCCACCCCCCCCCCGGCTCATTCTTCTCCTTCCCTCTTCAGTCCAAGCTGGCTTCGATGTCCAATGACTTCAAGTCGGTGCTGGAGGTGCGGACGGAGGTGAGGCGCTGCCCCCCTTCTCCTTGGGTCCCCCCCTTCTCCTTGGGTCCCCTCCTTCTCCTTGGGTCCCCCCCTTCTCCTTGGGTCCCCCCCTTCTCCTTGGGTCCCCTCCTTCTCCTTGGGTCCCCCCCTTCTCCTTGGGTCCCCCCCTTCTCCTTGGGTTCCCCCCTTCTCCTTGGGTTCCCCCCTTCTCCTTGGGTCCCCCCCTTCTCCTTGGGTTCCCCCCTTCTCCTTGGGTCCCCCCCTTCTCCTTGGGTCCTCTCCTTCTTCTTGGGTCCCCTCCTTCTCCTTGGGTCCTCTCCTTCTCCTTGGGTCCCCTCCTTCTCCTTACGTCCCCCTGTTTTCTTCCTATCCCCTTCTTCTTCCATCCCCACCTTTGCCCCCCCCGTTTCCTTCCAACCTCCTCTTATCCTGCATTTCCCCCCCATTTCTCCCCCCACACTCCTTAGTCCCTTTTCCCCCCACTCTTCCCACTTTCCCCCCTTTTTTCTCCCCTTTTCCCTCCCCCATTGCCCCCAATCTCTCTTTCCCCCCTTTTCCCCCCTCGTGATCCCCCATTGCTCTCCAGTGTTCCCCAGCCCCTCTTTGCCCCATTTCCCCCCCATAACCCCCATTTCCCCCCCAGAACCTGAAGCAGCAGCGCAGCCGCCGCGAGCAGTTCTCCCGTGCCCCTGTGTCTGCATTGCCCCTCGCTGCCGGCAACATGGGTGAGTCCGGGGGAGGTTTGGGGAGCTGGGATGGGGACATGGGGGTCTTTACCCCGCACACACACCCCATGGACCCCCCCTCATCTCCCCATAGGCAGCTCCACAGTGCTGCAGGATGAGTCCCCGCGCGCCGGCTCCGTGGCCATCGAGATGGACGCACGGACGAGCCAACAGCTCCAACTGATCGATGAGCAGGTGGGGACACGGACACTGGGTCCTGGTGTCATGGGGGGGGACAATGATGTGTGGGTGTGTCCCCAAAGTGAGCTTGCAGAACGATGCTCCCGCTCTTGTCCTGCAGGATTCCTACATCCAGAGCCGGGCAGACACGATGCAGAACATCGAATCCACCATCGTGGAGCTGGGATCCATCTTCCAGCAGTTGGCTCATATGGTGAAGGAGCAAGAGGAGACGATCCAGAGGTGCCAACCCCAGTTTCCCACCCGCTCCGTCTCCATCCATCCCTTCTGTCCGTGCCTCCCTTCACTGTGCCCCATCCCATGGCAGGATCGATGCGAGCGTGGAGGACACGCAGCTGAACGTGGAGGCGGCTCATGGGGAGATCCTCAAGTACTTCCAGTCGGTCACGTCCAACCGGTGGCTGATGATCAAGATCTTCCTCATCCTCATCGTCTTCTTCATCGTCTTCGTTGTTTTCCTGGCGTGAGGATCTCTTGCTGTTCCCTGTCCACCGGTTGGGACAGATGGACTTGATCCGTGCTCTGTGGGGCTCGGACATGGACACTGCTGTGGGCATGGGGTCTGCTGGGACCCCCCAAGTGCCCCTGGAGACCCCCTCGTTGTCCCCCCCAGGGTGTGGGGGGCAGCACCAGCTCCCCCCCACAGGTCCTGCGGCCTACGCTGCGGCTGGTCCCTGTTCCCAGCCGGTCATGGTGGCTACAGACACCCACTGGGGGGGACGGGAATACCGGGAATGCTGCCCCCCCCCGCCCCCGGAGTGGCTGCAGCCCCCTCTTAAAGCTGTGGGACCCCCTGAAGGGGTCTGTGGACCCCGATGGGCCCCCTGGGGCGGGTTGCGGACCCCCGTTAAACACTTGGGACTGCCGTGGGGAGCTGCAGAGCCCTTTAAAACTGTGGGACCCTCGCGGGGAGGGCTGTGGACCCCGGTATGGCCCCTGGAGGGGCTGTGGGACCCTTGGGGGGGCTGAAGACCCTCCCTTAAACTCTTTGGACCCCCTTAAAACTGTGAGACACCCTGTGGGGGGGGGGCTGTGCACCCCAGTAGAGCCCCTGGGACCCTCATTAAATCGCCTGGACTCCCTCTAGGGTGCAGCAGTCCCCATTAAAGCTGTGGGACCCCATGGAACGGGTGGGCTCCACCTCCGAGTTTCGTTGTTGTTCCGTGAGCGGGATTCGAACCGGTGACGTAGGGCATGGCTTTGTGAGGGGGGCGGACTGCGCATGCGTATAGGGAAGGCCGGGAGCTCCGGGCGGAAGTGACAAACCGGGGGCGTGGCCCGGTGGTGAGGCAGCGGCTGCCGTTGGCGGCGATGGCGGAGGAGGCCAAGGGGGCGTTCAGCGGTGAGCGCCGGGGCCGGAACAGGAATGGGGACCGGGGAGGACGCCCGGGGGGAGCGGGAGCGGGGCTCTGTGGGCCGCGGGGCTTGGAGGTGGTGCTGGGCCCGGGCTGTGGGCCTGGAGAGGGCCGGGAGGGGAATGGGGCCTGAGGAGGGAGGGTGGGGATGGGGGTAGGGGTTAGGGGAGAGGGGATGGGGTCAGAGGGGGGAGACGGGCGTCAGGGGGACATAAATGGGGTCAGGGTACGGAGATGGGGGTTGGGGACGGGACGGGGCCTGGAGAGAGGAGATGGGGGTCAGGGAGGGGGAATGGGATCAGAGGAGGGAGATGGGCGTCAGTTAAAGGGGGTCTGGGTAAAGGGATCGGGGTTGGGGAGAGGGGAACGGGACTGGAGAGAGGAGATAGAGGGGAGCGGGGATGAGGGAGCTGGTGGGGAGAGGGGGCCTGGAGAGAGGAGGGGGGTTAGGAGGTGGCAGTTGGAGGAAGGAGATGGGGTTGGGGGTAATGGGAGTCACAGAGGGGAGATGGGGGCCTGCAGGGGAGGGGGTTCACAGAGGGGATGGGCGTCAGAAAATGGGGCCCTGCAGGGGGGTCCTGGGGGTCCAAGGCTCAGGCCCGGTCCCCCCCCACTGAGCGTGGCTCCCGGTGCCCCGGCAGAGCACGATGACCGGGTGGGCGGGCGCGTCTTCTCGGGCCGGCGGAAGAAGGGCCGGGGCCCGTTCCGGGGCAAGATGTACAGCGAGGTGACCCTGAGGGCGCGGAGCCGCGGCGGCCGCCCCCACCCCGACGACAACGACAGTGATGTCCCCATGAGCGACACACACGACGGCCCCCGAGCCCGATAGTGAGTGCAGGGGGATCCCCCCCCCCCCCGGTAACTGGGGTAATGGGGTTTGCCAGGGGTGCCTTGGCTCCACTGTGCCCTGTGTTCCCAGCTTGCCCTATGGGCCCCGGCCCAACCGCACGGCCAACATCCACATCACGGTCCGGAGGGATCTGCCTGCACCGGAGCGGAGCAGCGGATCCAGCCGGGAAGGGGGGCGCAAGAACTGGTTCAAGATCACGGTGAGTGGGGATGGGGATGGGGCTGGGGGCACCCAGTTTTCCATGGCACAGGAATGGGATGGGGCTGGGGGCACCCAGTTTTCCATGCCACAGGAATGGGATGGGGTTGGGGGCACCCAGTTTTCCATGCCACAGGAATGGGATGGGGTTGGCACCCAGTTTTCCATGGCACAGGAATGGGATGGGGCTGGGGGCACCCAGTTTTCCATGCCACAGGAATGGGGATGGAGACTGGAATGCTGTTGCAGCAGGGCGAGGGAGCAAATGGGTATTCCAAAGGCTTGGAGTAAAAAGAAACAGTCTTGTGTTCCACCAGCAGAGTTTTAGGTGGGATATTAGGAAGGATTTGCACTGGAAGTAGGCTGCCAGGGGAAAGGGTTGGGGTGCCATCACAGGAGGGATTAGAAAACACCTAAAAAGGATATAAATCCCTGGAATAGTGATTTAACCTGCAGAAAAGGGGATGACACCTGGAAAACAGGTTAAATCCATTGGGAATCGCTGCTGAACCAGCTATGGGACATGTTGCCAATTGAGGCCCGAAAGAATTCCAGGTATTCCTGGAATAAGGATGAGTTATATAACCCAGACATGGCGTTTGTCATGGAATAACCCACTGGAGAACACCCTTTCCCTTCGGGACAGCGCTGAAACAATCCGGATCATCCCTCCCGCTGGTTTCCAACTGGAATAGTGTGGTTTACCCCAGTCTTTTCCAGTTTCTCATTGTCTTTTCTTGCTTGCCACTGGGTTCGTGCCTCTTCCAGATCCCCTATGGCAAGAAGTACGACAAGTCCTGGCTGCTGAGCTCCATCCAGAACCTCTGCAGCGTCCCCTTCACCCCCGTCGAGGTGAGGAGGAGGGGGGGCACGGGGGGGGCTTTCTTCCCTTTTTGGGGGCATTGGGATAATTTGGAAGCTCAATCCCGACCTTTCCCAGTTCCACTACGACCACAACCGGGCTCAGTTCTACGTGGAGGACGCCACCACCGCCAGCGCCCTCAAGCAGGTCTCCCGCAAGATCACGGACAGGGATAACTACAAGGTGAGAGCTCCCCTGGGGCTGCGCTTCCCATGGGAATGATCCCGGGGCTCGGAGCCTGCTCCTTGCCTCAGCAGGGCCCCTTTGCAGCTCTCTGCTGTTGCAGGTGGTGATCGTGATCAACGCCTCGGCGCCGCCTCAGTCCCTGCAGAACCAACTGAAGCCGGAGGAGGTCGAGCAGCTGAAGGTGAGGATGTGGGGAGGGGAAGGGGAAGGGGAAGCACCTGCCTGCTCCTTCCTCTTCACCCCCTTCCCTCCCCTTGTGCTGCCCCAGCTGTGCATGAGCAAGAGATACGATGGCTCCCAGCAAGCTCTGGACCTCAAGAGCCTCCGCGGGGACCCAGGTGAGAGGCACCGGTTCCCTTGGGGACACCGGGGTTGGGGCTGTGGGGAGCAGGGTCCCACCCCTCAATTTCCCCCTTTAACCCCATCAATTTCCCCCCTAAACCTCCTGATTTTCCCCTTCATGCCCCAATTTCCATCCTGATCCCCCCAATTTCTGCCCTCAACCCCAATTTCCCCCATAAAACCCCCAATTTCTTCTCTGACCCCCTTAATTTCTTTCTTCATCTTCTAATTCCTCCCTTCCCAAAATTCTCACGCTGCACAATTTATTCTCTGATCTGTTCAATTTTCCCCCATGATTTCCTAATTTCCCCTTATAAAACCCTCAATTTTCACTCTTATCCCCCCTGATCCCCTCATTCCTGTCCCCCCAGACCTCTTGGCACAGAGCATTGACGTGGTGCTGAACCAGCGCAGCTGCATGCTGGTGGTGCTGCGCATCATTGAGGAAAACATCCCCGAGGTGAGCCCCTCCTTGGGGAGCCCCCAGTCCCTTCCCCCCCCCCCCCAGTTCCCATTCTCACCCCCCCACATCCCTGTTTCCTCCCCACAGCTGCAGTCCCTCAACCTGAGCAGTAACAAGCTCTATCGCCTCGATGACCTCTCCGAGCTGGCGCAGAAAGCAGCCGGGCTCAAGATCCTTGACCTCTCTCGCAATGAGGTGGGTGCCCCCCCTCTTTATGTGGGCCCACCCCACACTTTATGTGGGCCCCTTCTTTGTGTGCTCCTCTCTTCGTGTCTTTTCCTTTATGTGCCCGCATCTTTTCTGTGTGTCGCTCTATGTGCTGCCTGTGTCCTGTGTGCTCTCCCTTTTATGTGCCCCCATGTCCTGGTTGCCCCATTTCCTAGGTGGCCCCCCATCTTTATGTGGGCCCCCATCTTTATGTGTGCACCCCATCTTTATGTGTGTACCTCATCTTTATGTATGCCCCCCATCTTTATGTGTGCCCCCCATCTTTATGTGTGCTCCCCATCTTTATGTGTGCCCCCCATCTTTATGTGGGCCCCCATCTGTATGTGTGCCCCCTATCTTTATGTGTGCCCCCCATCTTTATGTGTGCCCCCCCTTGTTTGTGTGCCCCCCATCTGTATGTGGGCCCCCATCTGTATGTGTGCCCCCCATCTTTATGTGTCCCCCCCATCTTTATGTGTCCCCCCATCTTTATGTGTCTCCTCCATCTTTATGTGTGCCCCCCATCTTTATGTGGGCCCCCATCTTTATGTGTGCATGCCATCTTTATGTGTGCACCCCCATCTTTATGTGTGCCCCCCATCTTTATGTGTGCCCCATATCTTTATGTGTGCTCCTTATATGTATGTGGGCCCCCATCTTTATGTGTGCCCCCCATCTCTTGTGTGTCCATGTCTTGTTCCCCCCTCTTCCGTGTGCCCTGATGTTGTATGTCTGCTTCTCTTTATGAGTGCCCCCATTTCCTGTGTGCTCCCCTTTCTGTGTGCCCTCCTGTTTTGTGTGTCCCCCTTCTTTATGCATGTCCATTTCCTGTGCCCCCTCTCCTGTGTGCCCCCCATCTTCCACGTGCTCCCATGTTCTGTGTGTTTCCTCTTTTATCTGTGCCCCCATGTCCTGTTGCTCCCCTTCTTTACGTGTGCACCCCTCTTCTGTGTGCCCCTGATGTTCTGTGTGCCGCCCTCTTTATGTGCCTCTATCTGTGTGCCCCTGTCTCCTGTGGACCCCCTACTTTATGTGTGCCCCCATGTTCTGTGTGTCTGCATCTCCTAAGTGCTCCCCCTTCTCTGTGTGCCCACCTCTTTTCTGTGTGCTCCCCCCTTTATGTGCCCCCCCTTCATGTGCCCCCCATCCCTGTGCCCCCCTCACCCCATCCCTGCCTCCCTGCAGCTGAAATCCGAGCGGGAGCTGGACAAGGTGAAGGGGCTGAAGCTGGAGGAGCTGTGGCTGGATGGGAACCCCCTGTGCGACGCCTTCCGGGACCAGTCCTCCTACATCAGGTCAGTGCTAGGCCTGGGGCGGCCCCAGGGGCCCGTGGGCCGCCCCTGCTCCACGGGGGGCACCACAGCAGGACCAGGAGAGGCTGCTTCACCCCCCAGTTTCACTCAGCGGTGCCTGGATCCCCCCAGTTCCCGTCCCGAGGTTCCCCCGGAGCCCCCGGTCGTGGTGCGGAGCCGGGGCCGATGCGTTTCAGCTGCTCGGAGCCCTGCTCCCTCCTTCCTGCTTCCTCCTCGTCCCCCTGCTTCCCTCCTCATCCTCCCCCTTGCTCCCCTCTTCATCTTCCTCCCTCGGGAGCACACAGCCTCTTCTCCCCAGCGCTCCCTGCCCGCTGCTCCTGCTCTCCTGCCGTGCAGACGGGGCTTTGCCCAGCGCTCCCCCCCACTCCCCCTCCATTCCAGGGGGATTTTAAGGGGTGCAGGACCCGATGTGGGGCACAATTCCCTCCTGCCCCATGGAGCTGCCTCCCCCCATGCCCGCGTTCCGCCCTCGACGATGGCTGGTTAGCCAGAGACGGGTAAGATTCCTCACGGGAGGAACAACCTAAGACAGGCACAGCCGTGCAGTGGCCGAACGCCGCCGCCTCCGCTGCGGTCGGCCTGGGCTGGGGATGCTCCTCCAGCGCCTGCAGCTCGCTCCGGGCAGGTCCCCCCGTGCCATTCCTGGGTTTGCCTGCGCCGGCTCCCAGCAACGGATTCGGGATCTCGGCTCCGGATGCGGCTCCAAACCAGAGCTGGGAGGGAGCAGCACTAAGGAGAAGAGGCTCTGCCCTGGGGGTCCCCATCCCTCTGCCCCCCCTCACTTTGGCTTCACTCCTTCCTGGATCAATGTGGGGGGGGCTCCATCCCCCCCCCCCCCCCAATCCCATTCCCCCCATCCCAAAGCAGCAGCTCCACAGCTGTAAACAGCTGGATCGTGCCAATGGTTGTGCCACGGCCGGTGGGAATCTCCCTCTTCCCCCATTTCCCTCCTCCAGGCACCTGCATCCAGGTGAGTATGAGCCAGGTAAGACCCAAGCTGGGTGCGGGGACCCTCAGAGACCCCCCCAAAGGGGCAGGGGCAGCCCTGGGGCGGGGGGGTGGGGATAGAACCAGCCCCCACCCTGGATGATGGGGAGCAGCTTTGGGGTGCCCCCAGTGCCATGGACCCATGGGGAGGGCAGGGAAAAGTGGGGGGGGCAGGGAGGGGGTTGGGGTTTGCTATGGGGGGGGATGCTGGGCACCAAAGTGACTCTGATCCCTCTGCAGCTCCGTCAGAGAGAGGTTCCCGAAGCTGCTGCGGCTGGTGAGTGGGGGGGTACGGGGGGGATACAGGGGCTGGGGGGGCAGGAAGGAGCTGGGGGGGGGCAGAAAGGGGATTCTCTTCCCCCAACCCCCTGTTTCCTCCCCCCAGGATGGGCACGAGCTGCCCCCACCGATCGCCTTCGACGTGGAGGCACCGACAACGCTGCCACCATGCAAGGTGGGGACATGGGGGGGACACGACACAGTGTGGGGGGCACACACACGACCCTGGGGGTGTCTGTGTCCCCATCCTGGCCTTGGGGCTGTCATTTGGGGGTCACCATCTTTGTGTCCCCCCTTTCCAGGGCAGCTACTTCGGCTCTGATGACCTGAAGGTTTTGGTGCTGAGGTTCCTGCAGCAGTGAGTGGGGAGGTTGGGGGTTGGGGTGTTCCCCCCCTCTATTCCCACTCTTCCTCATCCTCACCCTCATCCCACCTGCTTCCCACCCCATCCATAGGTATTATTCCATTTATGACTCCAGCGACAGGCAGGGCCTGCTGGACGCCTACCATGACAGCGCCTGCTGCTCCCTCAGCATCCCCTTCGGACCCCAAAACCCACCCAGGTACGGTCCCCTGGCACACCCCCTCCCCAGGACCCCCCCCCCATGGCCTTGGGGTGGTTTCTACAAGTGCTTGTCCCACAGGAACAGCTTGAACGAGTACTTTAAGGACAGCAGGAATGTGAAGAAGCTGAAGGATCCCAGTAAGTCCAGCCCCATTGTGAGGGGGCATCCCAAGGAGGGCTGTGGGCTCCGTGTGGGGTGAGGAGGAGAGAGGAGGAGTGAGAAGAATGGAGGAGGGAGGAGGAGGAGGGAGGAGGAAGGTCTCAGCCTCCATCCCCCCCCAGCCATGCGCTTCAAGCTGCTCAAGCACACGCGCCTCAACGTGGTGGCTTTCCTGAACGAGCTGCCCAAGACCCAGCACGACATCAACTCCTTCATGGTGGACATCTGCGCGCAGACGGTGAGTGAGGGGAGGCCCCGGGGGTCCTCACCCCCCCCAGAGCCCTCCTCACCATCCCCTCCCTTCCAGAACACGCTGCTCTGCTTTGTTGTCCATGGGATCTTCAAGGAAGGTGAGTGCCAGCCCACACCCCCCACCTTGGGCTTCAGCCCCAGCTTCCCCCCCCCGTCACCTCCTCCTGCTCTTCCGCAGTGGATGGGAAATCCCGGGATTCGGTACGAGCCTTCACACGGATGTTCATCGCCGTGCCCGCCGGCAACACGGGGTAAGGCCGAGCGGCCTCCTCCGCCTGCGGGAGCTGGGGTTTGGCCCTTGAGTGATGGTTTAGGCCATCTCCAGATGGTTTCCACCTCTGGGAGATGAGTTTGAGTCAACTCGAGATGGTTTGGGCCGCTTCAAGGTGGTTTATGCTCTTGAGAGATGGGTTTAGGCCATCTTGGGATGGGTTTGGGTGTTGGGAGAGGGGTTTGGGCCGTTGGGAGATGGGTTTAGGCCGTTGGGAGATGGGTTTAGGCCGTTGGGAGATGGGTTTAGGCCGTTGGGAGATGGGTTTAGGCCGTTGGGAGATGGGTTTGGGCCGTTGGGAGATGGGTTTAGGCCATTGGGAGATGGGTTTAGTTGGAGGGGTTTGGGTGGGGTGGGTTTGGCGTTGGGAGATGGTTTAGGCCGTTGGGAGATGGGTTTAGGCCGTTGGGAGATGGGTTTGGGCCGTTGGGAGATGGGTTTGGGCCGTTGGGAGATGGGTTTGGGCCGTTGGGAGATGGGTTTGGGCCGTTGGGAGATGGGTTTGGCCGTTGGGAGTGGGTTTGGGCCGTTGGGAGATGGGTTGGGTGGGAGATGGGTTTGGCCGTTGGGAGATGGGTTTGGCCGTTGGGAATGGGTTTGGCCGTTGGGAGATGTGGCCGGGTGGTTGGGTTGGGGTGGGTTGGGGTGGGTGGGTTGGGTTGGGGTGGGTTTGGTGGGTGGGTTTGGGTTGGGGTGGGTTTGGGGTTGGGGTGGGTTTGGGTTGGGGGGGTTGGGGTTGGGTGGGTTTGGGTGGGGTTTTGGGTTGGGGTGGGGTTGGTTGGGGGGGTTTGGTTGGGGTGGGTTTGGGTTGGGGTGGGTTTGGGTGTTGGGGTGGGTTTGGGGTTGGGGTGGGTTTGGGGTTGGGGGTGGGTTTGGTGTTGGGGTGGGTTTGGGTGTTGGGGTGGGTTTGGTTGGGGGTGGGTTTGGCCGTTGGGAGATGGGTTTAGGCTGTTGGGAGATGGGCCGTTGGGGTGGGTTTGGGCCGTTGGGAGAGGGGTTTGGGCCGTTGGGAGATGGGTTTAGGCCGTTGGGAGATGGGTTTAGGCCGTTGGGAGATGGGTTTAGGCCATTGGGAGATGGGTTTAGGCCGTTGGGAGATGGGTTTAGGCTGTTTTTGGTGTTGGGGGGGTTTGGTGTTGGGGGGGGTTTGGGGTTGGGGGGGTTGGCCGTTGGGAGATGGGTTTAGGCCGTTGGGGAGGGTTCCGTTGGGAGATGGGTTTAGGCCGTTGGGAGATGGGTTTGGGCCGTTGGGAGATGGGTTTAGGCCGTTGGGAGAGGGGTTTGGGCCGTTGGGAGATGGGTTTAGGCCGTTGGGAGATAATTTTAGGCCGTTGGGAGATGGGTTTAGGCCGTTGGGAGATGGGTTTAGGCTGTTGGGAGATGGGTTTAGGCTGTTGGGAGAGGGGTTTAGGCTGTTGGGAGATGGGTTTAGGCTGTTGGGAGATGGGTTTAGGCTGTTGGGAGATGGGTTTAGGCTGTTGGGAGATGGGTTTAGGCCGTTGGGGGATGGGTTTAGGCCGTTGGGGGATGGGTTTGGGCCGTTGGGAGATGGGTTTGGGCCGTTGGGGGATGGGTTTAGGCTGTTGGGGGATGGGTTTGGGCCGTTGGGAGATGTTTTTAGGCCGCTGGGAGATGTTTTTAGGCTGTTGGGAGTTGGTTTTTGCCATCTTGAGGTGGGTTTTGGCCACTGGGAGATGCTTTTAGGCCATGTCCAGATGGTTTTGGCCATTAGGACCTGGGTTTTGGCCAACTTGAGATGGTTTTAGCCATTGGGGGATGGCTTTTGCCCATCACCAGATGGTTTTGGCGGTTGGGAGATGCTGTTAGGCCATCTCAAGATGTGTTTGCTTGTTGGGAGATGGTTCTGGCCACTGGGAAATGGGTTTTGACCATTGAGAGATGTTTTAGGCCATCTCCAGATGGTTTTTGCCTCTGGGAGATGGGTTTAGGCCATCTCAGTATGGCATTGGCCATTGGGGAATGGGGTTTGGCTGCTGGGAGATGCTTTTAGGCCATCTCCAGAGGGTTTTGACCACTGGGAGATGGTTTTAGAGACCACTGGAAGATGGAGTTTGGCCACTGGGAGATGGTTTAGGCCACTGGGAGATGGTTTAGGCCACTTCAAGATGGTTTTATGCAGCTGGAAGTTGGGTTTAGGCCATTTTGAGATGGGTGCTGGGAGATGGCTTTTGGCCATTTTCAGATGGTTTTGATCATTGGGAGAAGCTTTTAGGTCATCTCAAGATGCATTTGGTTGCTGGGAGATGCTTTTAGCCATTGAGAGATGGGTTTTGGCCATTGAGAGATGGGTTTGGCCATTGAGAGATGGGTTTCGGCCATTGAGAGATGGGTTTCGGCCATTGAGAGATGGATTTCGGCCATTGAGAGATGGGGTTTGGCCATTGAGAGATGGATTTCGGCCATTGAGAGATGGGTTTTGGCCATTGAGAGATGGGTTTTGGCCATTGAGAAATGGATTTTGGCCATTGACAGATGGGTTTCGGCCAGTGACAGATGGGTTTCGGCCATTGGGAGATGGGTTTCGGCCATTGGGAGATGAGGTTTAGCCATTGAGAGTTGGGTTTTGGCCACTGAGAGATGGGGTTTTGCGAGTGACAGATGGGGTTTGGCCATTGGGAGATGGTTTTGGCCATTGACAGATGGGTTTTGGCCATTGAGAGATGGATTTTGGCCATTGAGAGGTGGGTTTCGGCCACTGAGTGATGGGTTTCGACCGTTGGGAGGTGCTTTCTGACCACCTCAAGCTGCTGCTGTTGCTCCCTGGGCGCTGCTTTATGGCCGTTGCCCAACCACGACCCCCCCCCCGTGCCCCCCAGGCTGTGCATTGTCAACGACGAGCTCTTCGTGCGCAACGCCACGACCGAGGAGCTGCGCAAAGCGTTCCTGCTGCCCGCGCCCACCCCCTCCTCCAGCCCCGTGCCCACGCTGGCGGCCGAGCAGCAGGAGATGCTGGCGGCCTTCGCCATGCAGTCGGGCATGAACCTCGAGTGGTCCCAGAAGTGAGTCCGGGGGGGGTCAGGTGGGGTTTGGAAGGGTCTTGGGGTCAGATGGGGTTTGGAAGGGTCTTGGGGGGGTCAGATGGGGTTTGGAAGGGTCTTGGGGGGTCAGATGGGGTTTGGAAGGGTCTTGGGGGGGTCAGATGGGGTTTGGAAGGGTCTTGGGAGGGGTCAGATGGGGTTTGGAAGGGTCTTGGGGGGTCAGATGGGGTTTGGAAGGGTCTTGGGGGTCAGATGGGGTTTGGAAGGGTCTTGGGGGTCAGATGGGGTTTGGAAGGGTCTTGGGGGGTCAGATGGGGTTTGGAAGGGTCTTGGGGGTCAGATGGGGTTTGGAAGGGTCTTGGGGGGGTCAGATGGGGTTTGGAAGGGTCTTGGGGGTCAGATGGGGTTTGGAAGGGTCTTGGGGGGTCAGATGGGGTTTGGAAGGGCCTTGGGGGGGTCAGATGGGGTTTGGAAGGGTCTTGGGGCGGTCAGATGGGGTTTGGAAGGGTCTTGGGGGGGTCAGATGGGGTTTGGAAGGGTCTTGGGGGGGTCAGATGGGGTTTGGAAGGGTCTTGGGGGGGGTCAGATGGGGTTTGGAAGGGCCTTGGGGGGCTCAGATGGGGTTTGGAAGGGTCTTGGGGGGGTCAGATGGGGTTTGGAAAGGTCTTGGGGGGGTCAGATGGGGTCAGGGAGTTTAAATGGGTGCTGGGGGGCTCAGATGGGGTCTGGGAGCAATGAGATGGCATCTCGGGGGGGGGTCAGATGGGGTCTGAGAGAGATGAGATGGGGTCTGGGGGGGTTAAATGGGGTTTGGAAGGGACTGGGGGTGTCAGATGGGGTTTGGAAGGGTCAGGGAGTTGGGGGGGTTCAGATGGGGTTTGGAAGGGTCAGAGGGCTCTGGGCAGGGACCACTTTGCTCCATGGGGGGGTCTCCAATGTCTCCTCCATCCTCTCCCCTGCCAGGTGCCTGCAGGACAATGACTGGGACTACAGCCGTGCTGGACAGGTCTTCACCCAGCTTAAGGTGAGTGGGGGGGGTCTGAGCCCCCACTGACCCCCATCTGCCCCCCCTAAAGCTCATCTGACCCCCCCCCCCAGACCCATCAGACCCCCTCTGACCCCCCTGTTCTCTCTTGCAGCTGGAAGGGAAGATCCCAGAGGTGGCGTTCCTCAAGTGAGCGCCGCCCCCCCCCCCCCCCTTCCTCCCCCCTCTTCCCAGCGTTTTATTCCTCTCGTTTTGTAAATAAACCATTCCTGGCCCCATTCCAACGCGTCGCCTTCTGCGGGCGCGGCGCCTTTAAGAGGGGGGGAGGTCAGCGCCCACGACAACGATGGCGGCGGAGAGCCGGAAGTGAAGGGGTGAAGGGACCCGGAAGTGGAAAGGGCTCAAGATGGCGGCGGCCAGGAGCCGGGCGGCCGCCGCCGCGGCCTTAGCGCTGGAGGTGGCGGCGGCCCCGCCGCGGGACGTGGTTCTGTTCCGGCACGACCGGGACCGGTTCTTCCGCCTGGTCGGGCTCTTCTGCGCGGGGCAGGCGCTCTTCTGGGGCTACCTGGCGCATTTCGCCTTCACGGCTCTGCGGCCCGCGCCCGGCCCCGCGCCGGGCCCCGAGGATCCCTTCCGGCCCCGCGATAACAAATGGCGCTTCGGCTTCACCGCGTCCTGCCTCACCCTCGGTACCGGCGGGAGCTGGGGAGGGACCGGGCTTAATCTGGGTTTAAGAGGGCAGGACCGGGCCCAAACGGGATCCAGGGCAGCGGGAGCGGGACCGGGCTTAAAGCGGGTCTAGGGGGGGCAGGACTGGGTTCAGCCCGGGCTGAAGAGCCCCGGACCGGGCTCAAACCGGGTCCAGATGAGCAGGGGCAGGCTCAGACTGGGCCTACGAGGGCAGAGCCAGGCTCAGGGGAGCAGCACTGGGCTCAGACCGGGGGTGGTGGAGTGGGGATGGGCTCAGACTGGACCCAGGGCAACGGGACCGGGCTCAGACTGAGCCCAAGGGAGCAGGGACCCGGCTCAGCCCCATCCTCGGGAGCGGGGATGGGCTGGGCCCCGCGCTGAGCCCTCTCCCGCCCCGCAGGCTCCGTGATCGTGGCAGCCGGGTGCCTGTTCCCGTTGCGCGCCGTGCGCAGGGTGACGCTGCTGCGGGGCGGCACCGAGGTGTCCATCAGCACCCACGGGCCGCTGGGGCTGGGGCAAGGCCCCACCATCACCGTGCCCCTGCGCCACGTGTGCTGCCGCTCCCACCGCTCTGAGGTGCCGGCCGCCATCCCCCTCAAGGTCAAGGGACGCCCCTTCTTCTTCCTGCTGGACAAGGAGGGGCAGGTCTGCAACCCCCGGCTCTTCGATGTCACCGTCGGCGCTTACCGCAACCTCTAGGCCATGGAAACGCTGGCTCCGAATAAAGCTCCATCCACCACGTGTCCTGCTCTCACTGGCAATGCGGGGAGCCCCCAGCCCAGAATCCCTCCTCCATAGACCCGGCTGTGCTGAGCTCCATTGTCCTGTCCCTCATCCCCAGCACGTTGGGCATCCCTAAGGGCACCTGGAGCCACTGTGGTGGCTTCAGTGGAGCCCTCTCCCCTCCTCATGAGCCTCAATCACCTCATGAACCCCAACTCCCACCCTCCTCTGGGGTCAGTGGGCGCTTCCACCCTTGCCTCCTCATGCCCATCCTGCAGGAGCAGTTTCCTCCCCAAGGACTCATCTGGGGCATTCTGAAGCCATTTGGGGTGCACGGTTGGGGCCAGCGGAGCTGCGGGGTGGGGAAGGGGCTCGGGGCAGTTCTGGGGTGTAAAGGGGCAGTTTTGGGGTCTGAGGTGGGAGCTCCCGGCCGCATCCCCGAGGCCAGCGAGGGGCTGAAGCTGGGCCCCCTGAACCTGCAGGACCCCTTGGAGCTGAGCCACAACGTGGCAGGCGCAGCCTGCAGTACCGGCAGAGATCCAGCAAGGGCCGGGCCTGGGGGCTCACACGGCTCTTCCAGCCGGGAGCAGTGGAGCCGGGAGCAGGGAACGCCGGCGCTTTCCTCATCACCATTCCCTGGGGCTCCACTGGAGGCCCAGAGCAGCTCGGCCGGGAGCCCCGCGGTCGCGGCCCATGGTTCTGGGAGGTCTGTGCCGCCATCGGCTTCGTGCTGAGGGACGTTCTCCAGTGCAGCTGCACCGCGGGGAAGGCACCGGGAGCTCCCAGCGAGGGGTTGGGGCTCTCGGGGGACTCGGCGCTGCCTGAGGAGCCGCCAATGGGCCCGGACACGGAGGAGGAGCCGCTGGCAGTGGGCTGCAAGCGTCGCGCTCCCGAGACACCCAACGGCACCGAGCTGCCCGGGGGGAAGCGACCGCGGACGAGCAGCCCCGAGGAGACAGCGAATTGGAGCTGCTCCGTGTGGCACCGTGTGTGGAGGGGCCGGCGCCGCGTCCGCCGGCAGCTGCAGCACAGCGATGGCCTGGAGGGGCCGGGGGGCCAGGAGCTGGAGCTGGAGCAGAGGGTGTCCGAGGCCATCGTGCAGCAGGAGGGCTCCGGGCGCCCGGCTGAGCCGCTGCTCTGCTTTGAGGCCAGTGCGCGGGTGGGGGGCACGCGGTGGGTGCTGCTGCGGCTGCTCCTGAAACTGATGTGGCCTATTGTGTACAAGGGGGTTGTCAGAATGTACAGGGGGGTTGTCAGAATGTACAGGGGGTACTGGTTAAGTCATAGCTGGTTTAACGAGCTCAGCAGATGTCTTATCAGACAAATACCAGAACAAAACCTCCTAGTGAGGAGAATGGGGGTTGTACAAGGAGTACTGCTTAAATCATGGCTGGCTTGACAAGCCCAGCAGTTGCCTTATCAGACAGCACTAAGATAAGGCTTCCTAGCGAAGGGAATAGCTCATTAAACCAGCTAGACATGGACCAGACCCATCCAGCTCCTAAAGAGCATGCGTGAGGACCAGAGGTAAAAAGTTCAAGCCTGAGGCAGACTCGTTTACTTCATCTTGAAGACCCCTACCCACAAGAGGAAGACTACTTACTTCATCTGAAGACCCCTGCCCAAGACCAGCAGGAGGCGCTGCGCATGCGTGGAGCGCATTTTAGCTCATTATAATACGAAGCGGGGATAGAATATGAATATGTATAGGCGTATTGTGCAGCCTAATACATATGTATGACTTTACAGGATAAATGTAGAAGGAAAACGGCACTGAGGCACGCGTGCCTTTTGGAGGAGCAATCCCCCGTGCGCCTTCAGCTGAATAAAGCATACCTACTTTACAGCTTTAACCAAGTTGTGGGGTCTATTCCGCTATCAGCTCCCGTCCCCAGCCCCCCCCGGGGCTCCGGTCCGGGACTTCTTCCACTTCCTGCGGAGTTTTCTCCCCGCCGCAGTGCGGCGGCGCTTGGGCCGGGGGCTGCGGGGGGGTCCGGGCCCCCAGGACGGAGGGGAGCGAGGGCAGCTCTGTGCACCCTGAGGTGCGTTCCTGCAGTAAAAGGTTCCTTTTGCAGCCGTGTCCCGTAGAGGTCCCGGGGGGAGGTTTTCTGGGCAGAGAAAAGGGGATAAGGGAGAAATGCAGACAACGGGGCGGGCTGGCGAAGGGCGGGCTGTAGGACCCGGGGCTCGGCGGGGGCGTGGCATGCAAATGTCGGGCTACACCGACGAATGTGGGCGTGGCTATGGTAATTAACAGCGCATTGCGCGAAGGGGACGCCGGGAGGCTCCGCGTGGGAAGGGTTCCCGGGGCTCGCGGGGGGTCGGTGCCCATGGAGCTGGGACGAGCGGTGCGGAAACAGCGCGGGGAAAGGGAGCGGGGAGCGGAGGGAGCGCGGAGCGGGGTGACCGTGACGTGGGGGAGAGCGGCCGCGGTTGCGGCGTGTGGCGGGAGGGGCTCGGGGGATCGCTTCTCGGCCTTTTGGCTAAGATCAAGTGTAGTATCTGTTCTTATCAGTTTAATATCTGATACGTCCTCGATGAGAGGACTTTATATTAAACGGATTTTTGGGCGTGGGAGCCGGACCCGGAGCTTGCTCCATCCGCTCCGCGCATCGTCCCGGTATTGCAGCGCCTCCGGGCTCGGTGCACCCCTGCGGGGGATCTCAGGGTGGTCAAAGACAGAGCGGAACCTGCGGTAACGTTTAACGGGTGCAGCCTTGGGCTCCTGATGCCGTCCTTGTGCTGCCGTTGCTGCTGCTCCCCCGGGGGTAACTCGGTACCGCTCTGTGGGTAGACCTGGGGTCCCGTCCGCAGCCCCCTCCGTGGGCTCTGGAGCAGCTCCCCCAGGAGCCAGGCTGAGAACATTGGGGCTGCTCAGCCTGGAGGAGAGGAGCTGCGAGGAGAGCTCAGAGCAGCTCCAGGCTCTGAAGGCGGCTGCAGGGATGCTGGGCAGGGACCTTCAGCAGGGGCTGCAGCGATGGGACAAGGGCTGATGGGGTCAGACTGGAACAGGGGAGGTGTAGACTGGATTTAAGGAAGTTCTTCCCTGTGAGTGCAATGTGCGGGGTTTGTTCATCAAAAGCTTTAAAGGGAAAAATCGGGAAATATAACCGAGAAGATGTTGTCCCTCATGGCTCGAGGCAACCGAGTCCACGAGCGAGGTAAAATACCGTGGAGAACTGACTCCTGGCGTTGGAGCTACACGGGAGTACTGGAAGAACCGCCTCAGTATCCAAAGGGACTTGAGAGTCCCCTATAGAAAATACACCCAAGGTTCTAACTGGAGGAATAATATTGGTGCAGTTAATCCAAAACTATCAATAACAAAGAAATGGAAAAGATTCCACCCTTTTTGGCACATCCTAGACATTCTGCTTATTCTGCTTATAACATATCTACCTCAAACATGGGCTAAGGAAATGAACTACCAACCTTTTAAGTGGACCCTACTCCGATTTGAAGCTCGACAGGTTATCACAACCCAAAGAACACCGGGAGAACCAAGCTTTAATGCTACTCTATGTCAGCTTGTCCCGAGACCCCGATGTTGGGAGTACCTGGGATTCTATATGTGCCCTAGTTCGACTCCTGGGAAGGGATGTTGTAACTACCCTAACCAATATTACTGCAGTTATTGGGGTTGTGAGACCAGAGCCCCTGGTTGGACACCGGGTAGCGGTATAGACGAATACTTAAAAGTTCAGTGGGGTCCATATGGGTGCAGACCACCACAAGGGGGGGAGGACGTGGGAACTGTAAATACCTCTTTTTCAATGTCACCAACCCCGGAGATGTGGGATGATAACTGGAAGAGTGCGGGGAGTGAGGTACACGGAACCAGGGACAGGGAAGGGCGGCTTAATTCTGATAGAAAAGGAAGTAGTCCCAAATGATCCCCTGCCAGTAGGCCCTAACCAGATATGAACTGATGATTCGGCCGAAGAAACCACAGCTAGTACAACGGGAATTCCTAAGGTAGACAATAACGATAACTCCTGACTGAAGATGGCTCAAATCACCCAAACTCCTGATGAAACCCCTGAGAATAACCCCCTTTGGAAGTTCATACCCGCTAGTTACCTGCTGTTGAACAAAACTAATCCATCTGAAGCTCCTCCAGTTCCAACCCTGCCATAGGCAGGGGCACCTCACACTAAACCAGGTCGCCCGTGCAGCGCTGTGGTTTAGGCTTTCGGCCCGGGAACAGCGCTGAGAACCCCGATGTTTTCAGGTACCGCTCAAGTGTTTGGTCTGGCCAAGGACTTGGTGAGCCTCGTGCTCTGCCAGGGAGGAGGGGAAGCAGGGACAGGAGACCGGACCCAAACTGACCCAAGAGCTATTCCATCCCACAGCACGGCATGGGCGGGATGGAACTGGGAGTTACCCGGAAGGGCTGGCTCACTGCAGTGCTGGCCTTGGTATCAGTCGGTGCTCAGGCAGGCTGGGTATTATCGGTTAGTGAATGGTGAGGTGTTTTCTCTTCCCTTGTTATTTCCATTATCATTATCGGTGGTAGCAGCAGTGATTTGTGTTATACCTTAGCTATACGTTTAACGGGTGCAGCCATGGGCTCTCCAAGCTCTCCTCCACATCCCTCCGGGAGGAAGGGGCAGAAAAGGGTGGAAGGGAGAGAGAGGCTGCGTGGCTGATTTATGGCAAACTGGGTTTAAACCACGACAGGAATGATGGGTTCAACTGGGACAGGGGAGATTTAGACTGGATTTAAGGACGTTCTTCCCTGTGAGGGTGCTGAGGCGCTGGCACAGGGTGCCCAGAGGAGCTGTGGCTGCCCCATCCCTGGCAGTGCTCAAGGCCAGGTTGGACACAGGGGCCTGGAGAAAGCTGCTCCAGGGGAAGGGGTCCCTGCCTGTGGGGGAGGCTGTGATTGGATGAGCTTTAATGCCCAAGACACCGGTAACGCTTCATAACGCTTGGCTCTCCTTTAACCAAGGTAAGGATCCCTCCTCCATAGACCCGGCTGTGCTGAGCTCCATTGTCCTCTCCCTCATCCCCAGCAC